CGTCCGTCCGTCCGCTCGTTTTGCGACGCTTCTAGTTCTTTACCTTAAGAGATATTGTTCTACTTTTTTCGCTATTTGGTTCGTTATGGTGTCGAGTCTTGTACCAAGGAAGGAATTTTTTCTGTACCGCTTACAAAAAAAGTTATTGTAAAAAAACAAAAAAACCGTTTTTTACATGTTCCATAATTTTACACTTTTGCCGTTTATTAACGATCCTAGAGATCGTTTATAATTTTTCATTGCTATCTGTCGTCTGCCTGTTGGTCTGTCCGTCTGTTCTTTTGTCTGTCTGTCCATCTATCTGTCCGTGTGAACGATAACTTTGTTTAGAAATGTTCGATCGCTTTTACATTTCCGTTAGTTATGAACTGAATTGCATGAAATTCAATATGGGCATAGCCTTAGCCATATAATACGCAATGCCAAAAGTTGAGTCGAATCGATTCAAAATTCACAGTGCCCTTTTCGCATCTCGACCATTTATAAACCGAATTGCAAACTTTTTTACTTATAAAAGTATTTGAATGAAAGAAAATCAAACGCCAATTTCAAAATTTGGTTTTGCGCATGCGCAGTGCCAACTTTTTTATTTATGGAAAAATTTAAACGAAATTTGATACATAGGCACTTGGGATAAAGGAAAATCAAACGCCAATTTCAAAATTTGGTTTTGCGCATGCGCAGTGCCAACTTTTTTATCTATGGAAGCATTTAAGTGAAATTTGATACTTAGGCGCTTGGAACAAAGGAAAATCTAACATTAGTTTCAAAATTTAGGTTTGCGCATGCGCAGTTCCAACTTTCTTATTTAGAAAAGCATTGAAATGAAATTCTTCTCATAAACTGAAATTGAAGTAGCACGTCAAAAATGGATTGCCCATGTGCAACGCTATCTTTCATATTTGTGGCCGGATTTTTACGATTTTAACAGAAGTTGCATCTTACAAAATAATGAGAAATGAATGCATGTGGAAATGCGCTTTATGTAAATCGTTTACGATTACTTTTTAACTTGTTTCCCTTAAAGTCACGCTAATAGATTAAACATAAAATACAGAAAAGCTTCCTAGAACTCTGACTCGATCACGGGTTGTTCGGCTAGCGTTTTACGATAGATTGAAAACTCCTATATCTTTCAAAAGAAGACAGCTTTGGTTTTCTGGGAAATTTTTGAGGATTACGCATTTTACGGATAAGTTCAAATTCACGCTGATTTTGCACTTTTGCTATCGGTAAATTGATTGACTTCCGATTTCACAACCTAACTTTCGAAGTACAAGACTGCCACAGCGGGTACTCTGCGGCGAAAGTTTCCGGTAACGATGTTCACGCAAATTAACGCCCGATTTCTGAAGGTTTAATTGATTAGAACTCGCGATACCGCTTTTCTTGGTCTATCGCTTAACGCTTAATTCCTCCAAAGAAACTCTCCCTGTTAATCCCCACTTTTTTTGTTTTACAAAATACGCCTACTAAATGGCGCCTAATCAGTCCCAACCGCATCTTTCCTCGTTCACGATCCCACGTTTAAAAAAGCGATGGTGTCATCATATTTCTGCAAGGTCGCAGTTCCCAGGCTGCGTGATGACCTGATAACGAACAAATCAGAATCAGTCATTTGGTCACGTAACAGTTATTATATAAAAGTCAGGAAAATGCTGGTGAGGAAATATTGAAGTACGTGGCCGAGCACTTTCGTTTCCGAGTCAAGTTACTGACGAGTTTTGTATTAAATTTTATCCGAAATCGTATTTTAATATAAAATTTCAATTTTCATATAGAACTTTTGATTAATGTCAATCTCAGTGATGACATATGTCATTATAGACATTTGGAAATGTGGCAAGTACAGCCGAAAATGTGACAGGTGCGACCGGTAAAGTGACAAGCGGCAGGAAAAGAAGTCTGGAAAGATTTTACTGCCTCTGTCATGGAAACTAAAATGTCCTGACATAAAGTAGGCTGAAAATGAAGATTTCATGACGATTTTGGGTAAAAGCTATTAACTCTACCCATTCGCCCGCCAGACTGGCGTTACCAGCTATCTCAGGAAATGAATCGATAGGTCGGTTGACTTATAACACAATAACGCAACAAAATTTCGGAGTAACCAACTCTCTAATGGAACCACCATGTATACCTCATAATACTCAACCCCTAAAACCGCGAAATTCTAAAGACCAGCATTAAGGGACTCGTATAAATGTCGTGTAAAATTCAATCAACTATCCCGCAACCCCAAGTATTTATTCTCAACCGTTACATCGCCTACTGTGCTAGGATCTTCACCATTTCTGGTAGCTTATTACGGTATTGTTCGGGTTATGGTAATCTTAAGCAATTTCTCCCTTACATTGAAAGCCAGTGAGTCTCTAAACGCGAGTACAAATGTTCCCGCAGATCTATCCTGTGGCAATTTAAAGTGATTGATTCAAGTGTGCTTCGGCTCTTGACGCATATTGTCCCATGTTTAATCTGTAATCTTCACAAATTGTAAAACCAACTCGCACAAACGGGTGGTTCACTTAAACCTTCGCTCGACGCGAACTCTATCGTGGCCTAACGCGCATTGCCCCACGCTACTATCAACTATCTAATTCCCACTAACTTTAATTTTTAATTCCACCCAATATGGGACGTACAACCTTCTCCACAAATAAAACTTAAAACACCCACTCACTAGCGCCGCCAGCTTTTGACGCAAAGCAAGGTAGTCGTAACGTAATTAATTGACTTATCGTCCAGAATCCCACAAATGGCGTTAAATGTAACGGGTGAGTGGTGACCCAATAAGACTGTTCCTCGGCCATATCTCGAGAACCGTTCGTCATATGACTTAGGGGTAAAAAAAATTGGGTAAATCGGTCATGAAGAATCACTGGAAAATATTTTCAAGTTCTAAAAATGACCAACAGAGGGCGTAACTGCCATCTTAAATTTTAAAATTGGATTTTCTTTAAATTTCGCATAATAAATTAATAAATTTTTTTCACATTTTTAAAGAGAACCAGTTTATCTATCATTTTCGTAAAAACAAAAACTCAGTTATTTAAAAAACAAAGATGGTATGGGGCGTTCAATTGTTTTTGCATTAACCTGCTTTAACTTCTTAACCGTTTGACCGATTTTAACAAATTTGGTATGGTTGGAAAAAGAATTCCTTGGACAATGAGAATCAATCAAAATATAGTTAATTTAGTTGAATCCTTCTCCGCCAGGGGGCTAGTTTTGACACTATGACTCAAAATCCTAAAAAAATTTAAAAAATCAAAAGGAATGATATGGCTTTTTTTAATGAAAAAGTAGCCAAATAACATCCAAAGAGGCCAGTGAAAACCGTTTTTCAAAATCTCGTTCCTAACCTAAAATATTGGGAAAATGATATTAATGAATTAAAATGCTTAACTTGTATCTTAAATTTAATTTGTACGTATTTCCGGTTTTTGTCGATGGCGCGAAAGAAAAGCACCTTACACTTTTAAGTAGGCCTTGGAAAGTTAAACAAATGAAACACGATGCATTATAACATAAGTTCTCTTTAAAAATGTGAAAAAAATTTATTAATTTATTATGCGAAATTTAAAGAAAATCCAATTTTAAAATTTAAGATGGCAGTTACGCCCTCTGTTGGTCATTTTTAGAACTTGAAAATATTTTCCAGCGATTCTTCATAACCGATTTACCCAATAATTTTTTTACTCGTAAGCCATACGGCGAATGGTTCCCGAGATATGAGCGAGGAACAGTCTTATTGAGTCACCCTGTACAAAAATACTTGCTACCGCTTTTGATTATAGTACAGCGAAACCCTCAGTCAATCTCAAATCCGGTTGATGTCGGAAATTAAAATAGAAAGTTTGTTTAACACGACACATTCATAAACAGCATATGTACAGGGTGTTCTGAAACGTTACGCAAAATATCTAACGCGCCTACACGTAACGCACATATTAGGTCTCAAGTAGGTGGGCCACTGTGATTTTCATGCCTTTATCGTGTTCTTCACGCGATAACGCAAATTGTATTTATTTTCATTTCACTTTCTAGCGTATTAATCTTATATTGGACAATCTATATCCCATCTTAATGCGTACCTCTTATTTTTTACAGCAGGTGTTCCATTTTTTCTGATACGGATCTAGTCACTACTGGCATAACTTAAATTGTGATTTATCTAAATGTTTATTTATTATTATTAATGATAAGCAAAATATAAAACGGTGCTGAATTACATTGACTTATAAGAGTGACAATTATTATTTATCATTTACTAGCAATCACATTTATAACACTTAAATTTAACTACGAATTCGGATTTACCTTACAAATTTATCACTGTAACATCGATGTTAAGACTAAAACTAAACACAATTCTATTTGCTTCTAGAAAATTCTCGAACGTCGTTTATTCATTGTTTTAACAATAGAGATTATATAGATATATGACATCCGTACTTATTGATTAGTACTTTCTTTACTTTGCTGGTGATGTGGTCATAGGAAACAGGAGTGACTTGCACAAAAGGTGAAATGGCGCAAGAGGTTCTCCTCTTCGCCTTTGAATCAAATCAACTGCCAACAAAGACGAATAGGAAAGTCGTCTTTGAGACGCTATTCGCCCTTTAAAAAGTTAAACCGAGGGCAAAACTCGCTCCGCAAAGTAGAAAACTTTCTTCCAGATTAAATATTTGAGTTGAAATACGAGTGACATTGATACGAGACGTTTTCCCAACGCAAACAATCGGAAATACGCAAGAAAGTTTTCATATACGAGCCCTCAATTACTTTCAATTTCTGCGTCGAGCGGTTCTCACCGATGGAACATTCAAAATAATGACGGGAAAATGTTTGTTTAGGGAACGACGACGGCGGCAATATCCTGACCCCGAGGACAGCACGTGCGCCCGGGTCCATTCGTCGTTGTCACTGAAAAAGACGTACGCGACCGTTGTGTAAATAGCGAGGACCGCCGGACAAATAACAATATTCTTTCATTTCAGGTTGTACGTGAAAAAGTGCTTCGGATGCTCGGAACGGATCACGCCCGAGGAGCTGGTGATGCGTACCTGCGAAAGCGTCTTCCACGTCCGCTGCTTCGCGTGCGTCGTCTGCGGTATGCGCCTACAAAAGGGCGATCACTACGTCTTCAAGCAGGGCCAGGTGCTCTGCAAGCCCGACTACGAAAAGGAGGTGGAGATGCTGCAGGGCTACTCGCACAGCGAGTACTTCTGCGACGAAATAATACCGTCGCCCCGATCCGTCGACGGACGCAGGGGGCCCAAGAGACCGCGTACGATTCTGACCACCCAGCAGCGTCGAGCCTTCAAGGCGTCTTTTGAAGTCAGCCCGAAGCCCTGCAGAAAAGTGCGCGAGGCGCTCGCCAAAGACACCGGCCTTAGCATTAGAATCGTACAGGTGTGGTTCCAAAACCAAAGGGCGAAGATGAAGAAGATGAAAAAGAAGGCCGGCCAGGAAAAGCTGGGCGGTGACTTGGACGACGACAAGAAGATAGGCGTTAAAGAAGAAGAACAAAGTGAGTATCGGTATCCAATACAAGACGCACTTCCAGGTGTTTGCTCAGGTCCAGCGGCTTTCCTGAATGACAGCTGCAGCGACTCAGAGACGGGGAAGGACGTTTTCTCCAGTATAAAACAAGAGAGTAACCTATTCCTGAACATAAAGGAGGAGCAGGACAGCAATGGGGCCTTCTTCAAACCCGACGGAGGTCATCACCTGTCCAGTTCCGGTAAAAAATCCCCCCCTCCCCCCTTTATTCATTATAAACCAAACTACATTTCAGGTCTTACCGGCGGCGTTGACAAGTTTCAGAGTGGCTACGTCGGTTTTCCCTTCGCCAGTCTGGATTCCGGTCAGCTTTCCATGTTCTTAACGCCACCACCCGCGCACAAAAATGTCGTAACGCACTCCGTTCACTTGGACATCAATCCGATAGATCGCTTGTACTCGATGCAGAATTCGTACTTTTGCGCTGAGGAACCTTCGATAATTGACCACTAGGACGTTTTCGTTGACGCTTCGCTTTTCGCATTTGTTCTGTTAATAATGTCGATGACTTAGTTTTATATACATAATTGCCGAAGACTGATTATTTTATTAAACGTAAAAGTTTGCACAGTTTCAGGGCGTCAAGAACTTCGCCAACGCTCAACCAATCTGGTCAAAGGTTAGTAGATTTCTGTTTTTTTTCTATTATCCCCTTCATCCTTTTTTCTTTTCTTCCCCCGCCATTTTCTTCATTCTTATTCTCTCCATTTCTCCTATCGTTTCTCCTCGTTTCCGCATCTGAACCTCGCTATTAGTTTAATGTTTTTCCTCCCCCCGGTTATTAGTTCCCTGTACCTTTCGGTCCTATTTTGTTTTTTTTCTCTCTCTTTTGCTGCACTTGTATATCTTGGTCTCTTTTTGTAAATTCCTCTTCTATCTTTTTCCCTATTTCGCTCCTATCTTTCATAAATGTTTTTGTTCCCATCATTTTCCTTTTGTATCCATCCCCGTTGACAGACACTTTTGCTCCAATTTACCTTCTCTTCTTTGTCCTTACCTTCTCCATTTTTATTTCTTCCTCTAATATGTAATTTAGTGTCCCAGCACCTTCCTTGTATTACTTCCACTTCATCCGAAACCCCCTTTTTCCTTAATTCCCTTCTATGTGAAGTTGCTGCATTATTTCGTTGCATCCGATATCCTAAATATTTAAAATCACTTACTTCTATTCTCCTCTTTCCTCCCTCTACCTACACCCAACCAGAGCTGGGCAGAATACTTTCAAAAAGTATTTGAATTGAATACTAAATAGTAAATACATTACACAAATCAAAGGTATTTGAATACTAAATGCTTTTACGTCCAGCACAAGCGAATACTAGATACAGATATATTGAAAAGTATATTCAAAGTATATTCAAAAGTATTCTATTCTAATACTATCAAAGGTATTCGAATACTTGTCACTCAAATACATTAAAAATTTAAAATAGTATACTAGATAAAAGTTTTAATATACTACTTAAAAAATCAAGTTATACTTTGTATGGGGTTAGCTTTTTTTATACTTCTATTGTTATATACAAATTTAAGCGTATTATTATTACTGTATTATTATATAGGAGGTACCTACCAGGACCTTTCATATACCAGTTATATCCTTAAGAATACGTGTACCAGTTTTCAAAGCGATCGTACATCGTGCACATGATACGTACGCCTTTCTTAAATTACCTAATCCTAGCGATTTTGGAACAAATCCATTTTTGACCATCCGTTTGTACGTGTGCATAATAGTTTGTTTAGAAACGTGCGATCGCTTTGAAAATTGGTACACATGGTCTTAAGAATATAAGAAAGGTCCCTATTGTTTTTAAGTTACGTAGACTATCGACTTCGGTATTCAGATGTATCGGATTTTTATATTTGATTTTGTGACAATGGAAACTTTCCCTAAACATTTCTAAATTGTTCTCAAATATTTGAATAACATAAAAGTACTGCCTTTTTTTGATGCCGGAAAAAAAAATTGTCTGCCATCGACCGGGAAAAAACATTCTCGTATAGAATTTGGCCCGTAGAATCCATAATTTCAAACAGTTTGAAGATTGGGCTACTAGATCAAAACTTACAGCCCTTTGAATTTTTTTTCGAAATTTGTTTTTTGTCCATAACTTTTTATTGAGAGGTCTAATCGAAAACGTACGAATTGTTTTGGATTCTACGCACCAAAATTAATAAGAAAAAGTGTTTTCCCGAGAAATTTTGGTGCAGTCGATTTTTGGTAGAAAAGGAAGGTTATACACTGCCTTTTTTTGAGCCCCGAAAAAAAAATTGTCTCAGATCGACCCGGAAAAAAAATTTTCTTATAGAATGTGGCCTGTAGAATCCATAATTTCAAACAGTTCCAAGATTGGGCTACTAGTTCAAAAGTTACAGCCCTTTAATTTTCTTTCGAAATTGGTTTCTAGTCTATAACTTTTGATTGAGAAGTCTGATCGAAAAAGTACGAATTGTTTTGGATTCTACTCACCAAAATTAATAAGAAAAAGTGTTTTCCCGAGAAATTTTGGTGTAGTCGATTTTTGGTAAAAAAGGAAGGTTATACACTGCCTTTTTTTGAGGCCCGAAAAAAAATTTTCTCAGATCGACCCGGAAAAAAAATTTTCTTATAGAATGTGGCCTGTAGAATCCATAATTTCAAACAGTTCCAAGATTGGGCTACTAGTTCAAAAGTTACAGCCCTTTGAATTTTCTTTCGAAATTGGTTTCTAGTCCATAACTTTTGATTGAGAAGTCTGATCGAAAAAGTACGAATTGTTTTGGATTCTACGCACCAAAATTAATAAGAAAAAGTGTTTTCCCGAGAAATTTGGGTGTAGTCGATTTTTGGTAAAAAAAGGAAGGTTAAGTATTCAAATACTATACGAAGTATTCGAATACTTCCCAAAATATTCAAATACCTTGCGAAGTATTCGAATACTAATTATTTGTGAAAGTATTTGAGTTACAAATACAAATACTGCTTCCATAAAAGTATTTAATAACAAAGTATTTGAATACTTTAAAGGATTTGAATACTAAAAAGTATTTACAAAATCGAATACTGCCCAGCTCTGCTCCCAACCTACTTCCCTCTCAACCCTTACCAAATATTATTTTCGATTTTTCGACATTTAGGTCTAGGTCTTAACTTGGGCTCATTCTAATACGAAACTGTTACAAAACTGTACATTTAAACACAATATAATTGCTGAAATGAAAATAAGCGACAGTGCCAGCGACAAAAATCACGCATGCAAGCGCTCGATCAAAACAGATTTAAAAAAGTCTTGATTACCTTGATACTATCAATAATCCAAAAATCATCCTTACACTGCAATGTCCATTCCAATAATGCACAACTCACAATCACAAGCACAAAATATGGTACTGTAATTACTTCAATAAAACACATTTTAATCATGTATACCTAAAACGCCGATACGCCGCAGAAAAACCCGACATCAAATTTAACGGCAAAAAGCGAACAGCAAAAACACGGCGGCGGCCTCACTTCCTCCTCTATTTTATCCCCCCCCCCCCATTGCGATTCCATTTCCTAATTCTATTACGGAAATACGCATAATACTCTTATCTAAACGCGCACCTGCGATAACATAAGATTTTAATACAAACTAAATTAATGTTTAGCGACTCTTATCTACTAAAGGGGAAAAACATGAGATAAACCCTTTACGAATTACGCAAATAATGTCCCTTATCCTACAACACGTAAATTCTTATTCTTAACAATTAAATAAACAAAATAGACAAATTAGAATGGGACTATTTAAACCGCCATGCTACATAAACGTTACATAACTTTTTCTCTCTAAATTAAACAGATAATAAAAAAAAAGCCATTCCTGTTTTAACTTTTCTTCCTCCTTATCTAAATTTACCCATGATCTTTTTCCCGCTCTTCTCCCCCTATTGCTTTGATTAACAAATATCTTCTAATTTACACCTTCGAAACCGCTGCTTTTCAACTTTTTTGCCTTAAAATGCGCGACTCCTCCGCCTTTTGGCTTGCTCTTATCTGAGATCTGTATTTTCTTCCATTTGATTCACCAAAATTTTATAATATTTTTTCCTTCTCTCTTATTCCTTTTCTTTATGAAACATCCGCGATTAAATTATTTTTTCCCAACAAATAAAACTTGTTTCGTAACACACGGTCTTCTTAAGATAATAGAGAAATAAAACAATTAGGTATTTCAACCCCTGCAATTGCTCTCTGATGCTTCTGAACTTCTTCTTCGAGCTTCCACTTCTCGCTACTTATAAATTTCGAACTTCACTTTGCCTTAGAACACTGAATTAGATGAAAAAATTTTGGGTGTCTGTTCGGACGGTGGAAACCGAGGTGGAAACTTTTAACTTTTAATAAGAAGAGAAACAAATCTTAATAAAAGGCCTCGCTGTACTCTACTGCTTCCTTTTTCAACTCGACAATACATTTTTCCGTAAACGGACAACACGTATTAAACTTCTCACACCACTTCCACGATTAAAAATTTGCAATTAACTCTGCAATCAACGACGTAACGCGCCAAACGTCCCCAAAAGAAAAAAAAAGTGTGTGGGGGAGGGATCATTTTTTACCCCAATGCAATACCTTCCTTACTGACGTGCGGGTGGTAAAAACTAAAATATCATCAATTTGAGGTTTTGTATGCAGAGTGTAACAGTGTGCCAACGAGAATTAGGTGGTAGAGGGAACGACCCAAAAACTTTTCCAAATGAACCGATGCTACAAAATGTCGTTAGGATCTTCGTATCCGAAAATCGTAAAATTTGCATTTCTCTTTTTATTCTTTTCTGAGCAAATACAACATATACATATAAAAATAGACCTTCCACACGAAAATTGCATTATAAACAAAAGATGCTGATCGGTTATTGATTAAAAAGGGACGTCTCAAAAATTCCGTTGGTTCCTTTTCTGGTTTGATATAAAAAGAAAAAGCCAAGGAGATTGTGACTTCGTACAGACTTGGGGAAAGCTCGTTTTATTGGACATACGCTTGGTTTCGCCTCATCTCGCACGCCCTCAAAATTTCATACCGATTTATTAATATAGAAACCTTCGAGGGCATACAACCAATTCAAATCGCAATCGGATAAATGGTTTAGGGAGGGAGGCATAACTTACAAACATTGATTTTTATTTATATAGATAATCATCCCTAAATAAGTGATTACAAACAAAATTGTACTGATAACGAAAGTACAAGGAACCCAATAAAATAAAAGCAAACACAAGCCGGACAGATCAAAGTGCGATGGGACAGGTGTCAATGGTAATTAAAACTTCAACTTCTGAGAAAACGTGAATGTAAAATTACAACTGGAAAATAAAACTATAATCGAAACACACCTCAGAAAACAATAATACGGAAACGGTCTAAAATGAAATCGATTTAAATTTCGAACACTTTAAATTCAATTTATAGCCTCCAACATTAGGGAAAAATGTCCACCCAAAACCAATCGAGATCGAGATCACACAAAATCCGGTTAATCGCCAGAAATAATACTTATA